TGGATAAAACTCATATCCTGGCGAAATAGCCACATGGCAGCCGAAAACCGTATACCCTAGCTTGTCGTGCATTCTTTCCAAAAATTGGGACTTTTTAAAAACGCCGCGGGACAAATTGTTCAAAATCAGGAGTCCCGCCAAAAGCAGGACATCTGGTCACCTTACCTTTGTCTCTTCAGTATCCTGGGGTTCAGGCAGCATGGACACTGTGCAGAGTGACCACTCACACAGCCTGGCCAGAGGTGGGCGTCACAGGGTGGCTTCTGCCTTGTGTGCTGAGCTCTGAGCGATCGGAGGCCACCCCTCCTCACCCCTGTCTGCAGGGGTGGACAGGGGCCCGCCAGGGAGCGTGGCATGTGCCTTGCTGTTACACGTGATAGTGTGACATGGAGGTGTCTCCCACAGGGAGCCCGGGGTTTCCGCATCCCTGGGGTCCCTGACACCTGCTCTGCAGACTCCCTGTGATTGCAATCAGGATAACCTGGGGCCCAGGCAAGGGCGGGCTCTCTATGCAAATCCATGCAGGACAATGCAAACGAGGAGCACATCTCCACTAGGGCTGCTCCGCCCAACCCACCTGGGCTGCCTCTGACCCGAGCTGGACTGCAGAGTGGCTGTGGGCACAGCAGCTGACTGCCTACCCACAAGCTCAGGGCAGGATGACAACCTAGTTTTCTCCAGGCTGGTGCCACATTCTTTGCACCGGCCTGGGAGCACCCATGCCGGCCATGCCCACCTGCCTTCCTGGGATGCTGTCTCTTGGTCAGGAGCTGGTCCCTAACTGTCAAGAAAGCTCTGGGGACCATGTGTGGCTCACTGGCCTCTGCTCTGAGCCCAGCCCCACCCCCTTGCCACCCCTGTGGCCCCAGGTTCCATCCTCTGTACCCTCCCAGGCCTTACCTGAGATCCAACAGTGGACAGGCGCCACTTGGGTCCGAGCAGGATGGAGGGGCTGGTGGCAGCTGTGACTAAGCCCTTAGTATCCGGTGGCACAGCCTGTGTTTCTGGTTTGGCCTTGGAGGGAAGCAGCTGCCGCCATTTCAGTGGTCCCGGGCATGTGGGGCCTCAGACTGATCCCTTCTGGCCCACTGGCCTGAGCACCAGGGGTGGTGCTGACCATGGACACCCTGCCCCCCACATGATCCGGCACCCCCATACAGACAGTGCTGGGTGCCCAGGGCTGGCCGAGTCCGGCTCCTGGGTCCCCCTGCCTCTCTACCCAGAGAACGAGGCCCATCCACCACGATGCTCATCAAACTGAACGTCTTTATTAAGTGCCAAGGTCCAGGTGTGCGTGCTCCAGCAGTCCTCAGCTGCCGAGTTTGGAGGGCAACGCTGGGGGCGTCCTAGCCCTCTGGGCGGCAGCCCTGTTACTTCACATGCTCAGCTGCGTGGGAGGAGCAGTAATACTTCTTGTGGGCAATGAAGGTGGACAGGCTGCTGAACTTAATGTTGCACAGGCGGCAGTACCGCTGGTTGCTGTTGGGCGCCGGCGCCAGGGGCCCCTTGCCTGTGGCCTGTGCGCCCTTGTCCGTGTGCGCTGGGGGTGTGCGCGGCTGTGGCCCCGGCGACAGGCTGTGGGCTGGAGCAGCGGCCGGGGAGGCG